CTTAGCAATATAAATAAAAGTGACAAAATTACTGACAAAATTCTATCCGTTCTATTGGACCGTTTGGGAACATTAGCTCTTTGTTTTATCACATTGAAGTTTAAAATGGAGAAAAATAAACGCTTGCGAAGTTCACTGAAAAAAAAAAAAACAAAATAGAGTCTTGGACGAGATCGGATGTCCGCTCTGTTCCTTTTACCCGGATTTTTTCTTTGCAGGGTGGCATTGCCAATTTAGTGTTCTTTAATTAAGCATTTCTTTATAGTTTTGATTCAATTATTTTTTTATCATTGATTTTGAAATGATTTGAAAATGCATGAAAGTTGATTGAGAGAATTCTGAATTTTCATTTTTTCTCTATTTAGGATATGGATTTTGAAAAAAGAAATGAAGTATTATTAAAATTATCGAATGAAGAGTCAACAAATCATGAAGGGATTAATATAGATTTACCAAAAGAGAAAATCGAAAAAGGTTCGAATAAAAGGACAGCCGAAAAATCAAATGAAAAAACTGAGGAGCCGAGCAGAACGAAAAATAATAAAGACTTCCAAAGAAGGGCACTTCGGTTTAACTGGAGAATGTGGGAGAAAATGTTGGCTCTGGAGAGAGATTTTTGACTTCAAGGAATGTGCAAAGAAAAGTCGTAGGAGATACAGGAGAAGTAAATCAAAGGAGTCGGCTAAGTATGCTATTAGCTCAGGAAGGTCGAGAAGTACGGAAAGATTAGGAAATGAACCAACAGAAAACGACAAAAAGATATATTTTGGCCAAACGTAATTGCCAGTAGCCTGTTATCAGTCCTTTTACTTTGCAGTTGAAATTCAGGGCAATAATAACGGTGATCCGAAGTTGAAAGTATAAATCAAATTTTAGTTTTCCAGAAAAAGCACATCGTGAACGAAATCTTTGAGAAGAAAACTCCAAAACGAAAATCGGTAGAGCTTTTTGGACAATTGCGGTGTTACTCTTCATTTCAGGCTCGATGTTTCAGGCCCTATAACACACCTATATCTGATTTCTAATGGGAACAGTGAGGAAAGAGAAAAACTTGTTTTAAAAGTATTATGAACTCTTCAAACAAAGCATCAATTCAAAGGACAAAGCAGGAATTCAGCTAGAATAGTTATCAAACAGAAATGGGTGATCTGCTGTGAACAACTTGATCAATTTCCAGAAAAGGTGGTCAGTTTCTTCTAGAGACCCTATTATGACAATGATTTATTGTATGGGATTCTAAGAATACCGAAGAGGGTTTGTTACAAGTAGAAAAGAAAGCTTTTTTAGTTACCTTTTTTCTAAATTTCAACCAATTCGGAAGAAAGCATGTCAGAAGGCATGCTACCTTCTTTTTGTACAGAGGCTTATTCTAAGGCTAAGCTAAATAAACATTCCAAATTCAAAAGTGAGGACATATACATTGATCTCGAAAGAGCGAAAATTAATAAGTGCTAAAATTTGTAAAATGAATCATATATTTATATTCCACACATGTTATCACTTATAAATACATCAAACCAGATTTGAAATGCATTTTTCGGACATGTTGAAACAAAATATATCATTCTTAGAAATCATATCTCTACGATCGGACATTTCCAGAAAATCTAAAACTAAGAAACCGATGATGCCAGCAACGAAAAGAACATCGGTATATTCATATCGGTTGTAAATCTTCGTATTCAATTTTCAAAGAATCATGCAATTTGAATATTTCGATGAAAATTTTCAGCATTACTTATATTCCAAAAAAAAACTCTTACTTAACATTTAAATAAGAACAAAGCGTGCAAAACTTATTCTAGCATCCTTTCTGCTACGACGAATCTTTGGATGGCGTGACGGATTAGTCGAACCTGAAGCTAATGAAATAAAACTTACTTGAATGTCCATTGTCATCTCAGAGGCAGGAAGTATTCAACGATAATCAAGTTAGAAGGCAGAAAATGTTGCTGAAAAAGAAAGCTTGACCCAAAAAGGACGAGTTAAAATGTTAGATTAGATCTGATGATGGAGCATGAAGACCGAAATGTTAGGATAATGCTTGGTTACTTCCACTTGGCAAATTGCATGTCGGATGGATGTCAAAGACCGTGAAACAAGTAATCTTATCTTTGTGATTAGCATTCAAATAACTGGAATGATTCTAATCCGTAATTTTTTTTGCTATATATTATATATTTGGGCTCATTGGTTAACAACTTTCAAATAAGTACATTGATTATTATCAAACTATTGCAAGGAAAAAAATTCACACCATGTATGAATGTTGCAAAGCTTTTTAAAATAAGTTTGCCTGTTAGTGAACAGGCAAACTTTTTGGCAGGTTATGAACTCCCCAGTAGAATAAATTATATGTTTCAATTTGAAGTTTTTTAAATTCAAGGAAATCATTTTAGGAAAGTGAAATGAACATGATTCAGGGAATGCAAATGATGATGTCCAATAAGTTCAATTTGGTCAGAGGCGATTCATCGATCTTCAGTCCCAGAGGTAAATAATTTTATTTTAAACTTTTCTATTTGATGCAGGCACCTCCACTTATTCACAAATGAAACGTCTTCTCCCAGTAGGCCAATGAACTTTACTTTTTCATCTTTGTCAATACCGCCTGTAACTGTTTAGCTTAATTAAGCCGACCATTCGAGAGAAGACACTTTATTGAATTTATTTACTGATTCCAATTATTCTCCTAAAAGTAAATAGGACGAACGGAAGGAAAAATAATGGCATCACCAAAACTTATATCGTTGTGGATAAGAATGCTGTGAAGAATAGTGCTCAGAAACTTGATGCTGAAAATGTAACGGATTTCACATTCAATTATATTTTTTCAAGAAAGGCCTGGAAAGAGTAGTGAAGTTGGAGCACAAATTTTTATAGAAACAACAACGACACATCTCCGAATTTTGCCGAAGTGAAGTAGCGGTTCGCATTGAAAATCATATTTGGCCAAATGTGCGAAATGATTCATATTTCATCTGCGAATGGTTTCCGGAAATAACTCATGTCATTTAATAATCCTGTTCCGCATATTGCCAAATCATATTCTGCAACATGTGGCCTGCCGATCCCTTCTCTTCAAATTTTCATGCCAACTTTAAAGAAATAGAATGTACCTTACAAAATCAAAATGATCTCTCCATTTTTAACAGCGTCCGGCGTAAATGTTTCAAAAAAAGCGCTCATGTGTCTCTAATATATCTAACGGTTAAATGTGACAAGTAATGCGGTATGTGACAATAAATTTATTAATTTGATGATGAAGGAAAGAATCGGTTGCCAATGTGATCAACTCTACTGAAAGTGCTGTACGTTTGCTTCCAACAATGATGAATGAGTCTCGATATATCCATGCGTCGCAAATTAACATTCTTTACGACAATTTTATCATCACACAAGTAGCTGCTATTGTAAAAAGTGTACTGTTATCATTCTTTTAACTTTATGCTACTTACGTAAGATGAATTCAACAGAAATTTAAAGCACAATCAAAATGCGAATGGCAGCAAGAAGCACCGGAATCAGTAGCAGTTTGATTGGAAACGCTTGTAATGCAATTCGAAGGTTAATTCTTCTATTAGGCCATCCTTGTCTTGCCTACATCTCTGTTCTCCCTTTTTTCAAAAATAGTTATCAAATTCCTATGATAAAGAATGTTTACTGCTCTGAACCACTGAATGGCTTATCATTACCACCGGATTACTGGGTGTTCAGCAGGAAAGAGTTGAATTAACTTCTTTCTACGTTTAGTTGCTTCATTTTGAGTTATAGATTAGATGTAACCAAACAGTTTTCCACCCAAATTTCATCCAAACATTATTGACTTGTCGTGGACAGACCATTTAACCAAGTAAAACTTGCAATTTTTAATCTTCAGTCATCGGAGGAAGAAACTTTCACCTTACAGCTGATATGTAATATCCTCACATTTACTCTCATAACTTCTTGAAGTGATCTCGAGTGAGAGGGTTTTGCGGGGTCCAAGGAAACAGTCACTGATCGACTTCTTTCGAATGTTATGGCAGTATCACGTGTTATTAGTGATTTGTCTGGAACCGCTTACTGGTCCAAGGAATGCTATCCATATTTCAGCTTTAAAAAACAACAAGTAGTTAAGGCCCTGCACGACGATACAATTTTCTTGCCAATCAGCTAAATGCGTCCAGTTTTACCTTGAGTAGTTGAAATTCAGGTGAAAGAAAGAAGGTTCTCTCTAGACCCGATAAGTTATTGAGACCCTGTGGCAAATTTATTGTTTAGAAAGCTGTGCTTACGAAAATGGAAATCAAAAATGGTGGTAAGTAATGATAGTCAGAAGTGATTCCGGTTTGTCTTCCAGAAAGCTATTCATCAGCCGGCTACCGTTCCATTCTCTAATATTACCTGACACTGTACGAGATAATCTGTTTTTTTGAAATTTCAGGAAAAAATAATGCCTTCAGTATAGACAGTTTTGGGAATCTGCGATGAGTTAGCACATAGTTAGCACATCTATGACAAGCTATATTTGTATAATTAGTGCAGTTTCTAATCTCCTGCAATCTTCCGGAAGCTGTCGAGAATTTATTTCTTCATTCACTCTTCGTGCGATTCATCTCGAAATTATGACTCACGAAGAAATTTAATCTATTCGCATGTTATTTATATGCAGCAAAGAAACGACACATTCACATAATGATATGATAAATGGACGCATGAAAAACAGATATCATGTTGCTGATTGAAATGTTATTGATATTGCCGATATCACCAATTTTGCTAATTAAAATGATTGCTGTAATGGAAGCAATAGATCAAAAAAGATATTAATCGTTGTTCACGGTAGCTATGGCATACGAAGGACAGCTGTTTTCGTAATCACCTCATTGCTGATAAGACAAATATGATCGAGTACACTTATCAGTTATTCTACAGATAGATGAGTTCAGGTTCACAGTTTGCGTGAGTTCTCACATTCTGTTTCTACTTCCCCTGTTCAGATCGTGGAGACTCATCGCATGTCAATATTGAAAGTAGCTGTGGCGGTACGTAAACGGCGTTATGGTGTTCTGCAATTCTTAGCAGATTATCGTTTAATACTGCGGTGTGCTTTGTGTTACTCAAAGAAATGTGATCTGATTAAAAATGAAACATTTATGGATGCCACTGATGTAAGTGGATCGTTTGCATGTTAACCTTTGACCTAGGAACGTATATCGATTTGGCAATGAAATAATTCCATTCATAATAGATTCGCAACCTTATAAAACTCTGTTCTTAGAAGAAAAGAGAGAAATAAGTTGAGAAGACTTATACCGCATATTCAGCATATTTTCATGACAGATAAAAACAAATATGTATTGAAAGAATTGAGATTTTGGTAATTGTTGCAGGTTTGGAAGGTAAGGATCGTTATATATGATGCATTCTGTTGGTATTCATTTCAAAAAATCAATTTAATATCGCTTACCGCACGCACACATTCATTGGACTTCGTCAAAAAAATTTATCTTTTAATAAGCAAGTGATGATCACATTTCGCATTTATATCACCACAAATCATTTCCATATAAAGAAAAAGTTTGGTTAGGCTTTGCTTTTTTTACTCCAGGTTGATGAGGATGGTATCCTCTGACAGGTTGATCGAAGCTCATTTGCCCGGTTATCGATAATAGGAGATGATAGGACACCGACTTGTAAAACAATGATGCCAATCCAGGAACTGATAATCTTTGCTGCTTTCACAGGCTCTTTAAACGTGCTGGAAACTTCTATGGTGCCATATTTTCATTGCCATGTTAAAATTAAGATTGCATTTAATTCACAAAGTTGGAATTTGTCCTATATTCGCACCAAATTGGATTAGTGAAACATTCGTACCAACCGCTTTGAATAATATTTGACCGTGAAGTGAAGGTACAACGGTTTAATTAGTCATTGTGCTAAAAGATGAAAAGTAATCTCTTCCATAAGAAAATATATCAATTTTTTTATCAGATATCAATTAAAAGGTCATGTAGTGATTCTTTGCTCACAGTTTTTAGTGAGTAATTAGGAAATCAGAACTTACTGCATTGAGTACACCATCAGTTCCATTTTCATGATCCGGAATGAACACTTCGAATGATATTATAGTATCGTGTTTTTAAAGCTCGATATTTATAGATTCATAACTTCTGCTCTCCTGGACCGAATTCACATCTATAAAGCGCAATGACATGTGTTTTACTGACTTGTTTAGGCGTGATACACAGAGCGCAAATATTTCGTTATGCCAATTGGATGATGTATTTCGACGTAACACACAGTGATAAGCAACTAAACAAACAAAATCAGGAGATAACGTTCTCCAAGTTCCATACTGCAGTAAAGATGTCATCAACAAACGTTTTACTATCGTTCGCATATTTCTTGTTTGTCCCAACGATGCGTGTTGGCAGCCATCTTTTTGATTGAATATTGGTGACGCGAATTATGACGCTGTTTTCCTATCTCTTTTACAGCACCTTTACTTCACGTACCAGCAATGTAGCACTTTACAACCGGAACTCTGAACTTAGTCATGACTTGAAAGAGTAATGCTTTCTCCTTAAGGTGTGCTCCGATGGCGCTTCACACTCCATTCGCTTCTCCAAACGCTGATGTTTCATCGCTATCCACCCATTAGCACTTGACCCGCTAACCACTTACACAATTTCAGCGTCCAATTTGAATTTAAACCCCATCGTTGAAATCCTGAAATTTTCCCATCAAAAAATTTCAATTGAACTAATACAGAGAGAGACTTATTGAAATACTTCAATTTTAATTCAACTTTAATGAACTTAAAATAATTCTTAATAATCAGTTTATTGTGTTTTATGGATTAAAAAAAAACTTAATTTTTAGGAGGCAAAAATCAAGAGGAAAGATGAATTTCTTATAGTGTTGGAAGAAACTTTATAATAAGAAAAGGGAGGGAGGACTGTGAGTCGAGAAGCACAAGACAGGTCACTCAACGGTCATACAAATCTTTACGAACCGCTCACAATCGTTACAATGTTCCACTTTTTTCCCTCTGTTAATTACCTGTGGAATTCCTTCCTTTTCAAATTTATAGAGAAGACTTCACTTGCTAAATTTATTTGTATAGGGGGAAAATTTTCAATTACAAGTTTTTGAAACGGCACGAAAGACCTTATGGAAATGCGCTTCATTGACAGCAATCACCGGAAATGACATGCGGGAACGAATGCATCATTATGAATGGTAGAATTTTTAATATTAAAAAGAATGAAATATTTGTTACCATTGGAATTCAAACACATTTTAGAGAAAAACAAGCAATTGGAATTAAGTGTTGAATTTTCAGTTTCAAGAAAATTTTTCTCATAAATTTCTTTCTTAGCCATCGAAATATTGGATCATTATTACCAAGTGATAATCTAAATATGAGAATTGCCGCATCATTTGGTTCCAGCTGTCGAGTAAGCATTTTTGTCTACCATTTCATATTTGTTTTTCGGTTGCTTTTCATACTTTCACAAACAGTTTTTTACCGGTTGATTTTCCTTTGGATATTTGCGCCACTTTCATCTCATTTTCATTAATTGATTCGGTTGTAAATCAAATAATGGTGTCGGAAAAATTGATATTGCAGGTATTGGCAGCCAGCTTCATCGAATTGTTGGAAGATGATTTCGAAATGATAAAATGGAGGAAAATCGGAGATGGTATAGTGTGTTACATCTATGACTTCCATCAGAATCTTACTTTCCTCACTTTGATCGAACCAATCTCTCCTCAATCAGAATGTGTCTTTCATAAATGGACAATCACCGTGTATCAGTTTTTCCTCACTTTTATATTTTTCAACATAAAAATTCTCTTTTATTCATCAAAGAGGAATTGCTGCAGGAAATCATCGATGATATTTGAAAAGAACAGTACAAATTTCATAACATTACATGCAGGAGATAACAAAATTTATGGTATGAATTTTTGCTTGAGAACAGAAGCAGAGAGATTTTACCAGATGCTTCGGTTGCACTCTTCTTCGGGATCAGGTATGTTTAGATGAAGAAGAAATGTAATCAGAGAGGTGACATTTGATGATGACCCTTCTTTCTTCATATCCATCCATTTTTATTCATTTAGAATGGAAAGGGGAACGGAGAGACGAGATGTTCGATGAGCAGTCATTTTCCACTGACAGCTTTTCCACTGAAAGGATTCACATTGAGGCATTCCAATTCTAAAATTATTCTCTTCTCAGCCTTTTCTGAACTATGCTGAACTTTGTTCAAAATATGCATTGTTTTGGCTCTTTTTGCATTGTTTTTTTCAATTCAGTCAGTTTTTTGAAAAATCCTCACTTCATTTTCATACAATTCATAGTGTGGTCAAATGTCCCAGCATGCATTATTTTCAGCACTCTCCTCGAGGGATATCCTCATTGATAACGGAAATTTTGAAAAAATTGAAGCATATATTTGTCCGCAATCACTCCTCAGCACAAAAACTTAAGTTTTTTTTTGAAATTCTCTATAGAAATGCCATCGAGTAAAGTTAACAATCAACTATTTAATTTATGCAATTCCATCATATTAATTTTCATAAAATCCATGTATTATACAGGAAAATCTCTGTTTTCTTTTGCAGTTTCTTATGCACTACCAAGGAAATTGGTATTTCAAAAAAATTTCTTCCACACCAATAATCGCTGCATATCCTCGAAATATATTCCGCAAATTACTATATGTAGTAGTGGTGATGGAGGAGGAAGAGCAAAATCTATTGAAATCAGTGGACCGCTGAACTTCGAGTAAGTTTCGTAACTGATGGAAGTGATGAGTGGATCTTTCACTGAATCTTAAAATTCGTGAGGAAATTCGAGAATAAGACAAAGTTCGAAGGAAAAGTAGGACCGAAAATTGTGTAACGAAATATAAATAACAGAAGAAACAAAAGAATCTTTACGCTTGCTATTCTTTCTTACTTAACAGGCACAAGATTCATATTGGATTGGATTCCGTACATGGATATGAAGATAATGACTTCTTGAAAAAGATTCTCAGAGAAACACAATTACTCTTCGGCAGTCGAGAAACATTGATAGCAAACGAGCGGTATTTGGTAGGAGCATCGTGCCTCTCAAGAGGGCGAATTAATTCTGATTCATCTGATTAGTTTTCATACAAATTTCACAAATGTGTCAAGTATTATTTAAATTTAAATTTCATTTTTTAACACAAATTGATTGAGTCTGTTAATATTTTGGAAACTTTTCTCATACAATATTTCAGACAAGAAAGGATGAAAGCCAACCGTTAATACGACAGTGCAGTTTAAAAAATGCAGTGGATAGCATGTATAATCATAGATCATTCATTATCTTGTTGATTTCCTTTTCATATGTATGTAAAGAATTATCCTAAAAGTAAAATAGATATATTCCATTTCTTCTAGGCGTCTTCACATCCGCAAACAATCACGAACAACTTTAAGTTGTGTGAAACACTTCGATCAAGTCAAGGTATTATTCTCTTTTCTTTGTGCTGATAGAAAATTGCTGTACTTCCAAAGCAAACAATCTCCATCGTTCCTATTACTTCCGACGGTGCTGTAAAAATTTTGCTGACAACAGTGTTGCTCCTGACTGTTTTCGAAGTTTTTTTTGGTATACTACAGAGAAACAATCGAAAATCAACTAATTTTGGAGACAAGTTACTGGAAATAACTCAAAGTTCAAACATGCAACAAACAGTAACGATATCCGGCGAAGGCTATTCTGATCCGCCGAATAATCTAAATGGCAGTAACAGGATGAATCTACAGACAACAGAGGTGATAATTAACTTCTCCAATCTTTTCGTGAAAATAAGATATTTCAATTAACCTTAAATTTATGCAGTGATTGTGACAAATTACTGCAGGAAATGGATCATCCGGAAACTCCCCGAAAATGTTATGATAGGAAGCAAAAATTGACAACATGCACGGTGGACCATGGAGAGAGATTTATTTCTTCAAAGAGTTCAGCAACAATGATCAGAAAAGATTTTGAAAGAAGATAGCAATTATTCATTTACATCGAGCCTCTCAACTTACAAGTTAGTAGAAAGGTGAAGAAACAGCATGATCAGTTCTCTAGCAACAAGTGGTTCTCTTTGAAAAATAGAGTAAAATCTAAACTATCTTCAGAATTTCAGCTACAGTCTTTAGGAATAAAGGTCCTACAGTAAATTAGTTTTTCAAATTCAATTCCTTCCTTCGCTTTTATAGGAAATAGTAAAAGTAAGATGGAAAAAAATGTAGCGTTATAAAAACATTCCCATAGTGATTGTTTATCATCCATTAAAACAAACATCACAGATATACTTATAGTACCTGTTAAAAGGAAAAGAAATCGCTTCAATGAAAGAGTTATATGACGAAATAAGGAAAAGTTTCACAGACTGTCCTCCACAAATGTTACAGAGCGATTAAGAAATGTTTTCGGACCAATTTTATGTCTTACAGACCTGAGTTATACATAAATTTTTCATCGTTACTATATAATAAGCTCTTAACTATAAATGTCAATTTTTATCCAATCTGATCTGATTATTGTCTCAAGAAAACTACCAACAAATTATGCCTACGCATAAAATGTAGCAGATAATTCGAAAAATGGGAATATTAAAACAACGACAATACTGGTGAATCAAGCAATAATCTAAGAAACCAGTTCTTAAGGATGTATTACATACCTAACTTATTTACATCTCACTAAGGAAAAAAAATCACGGACCTAAAATATCAATCTAACGGATAGTAATGAGACTAAACTAAGCACAAATAGCAATAAATTTCCATATAAACCCAAGACGAGAGTGTACAAATCAAAAGAAAGTCACTGGTAGTTTTTACTTTATTTTTCACGTTAGTGTTCAACCAAACTTTACAATGTACTCGTTCATCCTACGATCTGCTAATTCATCCTACGCCATTCTCCACTATGTTTTGCTCTTCTTTCAGTGCTGACTGAAAATTCCACAGTTTAATTAAATGATAATAAAAGTAACAATTATCATCGCTATAGCAATACTTATGATCACGATCATCGATGCACTAATGAATTCTTGAAATATAATCTTTATCCAAAAAAATAGAAATAATGCGAATAGCAACCTCAGCAAGTCGCGACGATAGTTCGACAACGGGCCGCAGAGATGAAGATACTGGAGGTGAAAATGCACTGTTTGGTGATGGGACCAAAGGTCCACTAACGGTCATCATCGCTGGCAATGGGACCGAAGACAACTGGTACGAGATTTGCGACGACTGTAAGCCAACAAACGGGGGCTGTTGAGCATACAATAAATGAGGTGGCGCTACCTGGACGGAAGGTTAGTGTAAAAATGAGAATGAACAAAATAAGCTAATTTTATATCGATAGTTTTAGGAAAACTTCGCATAGGTACTTTCGATTTCAATACTTTAGCTTTTCAAAAATCTTCCCTGATTATAATAAACAATCAAAAATAGTATGCACTGAAAGTATAGCTCTAAGAGCATACGGACCCGAAATGTTTCCAACGATGACGTAGGAAGCTGCGTTTCATCATTCATGTTTGTAAGCCTTTCAGTATCTCGAGGATAATTAGTGGTGTATGTTTGTACAGTTTGAGCACATGACAATTGCTGACTTGACAGTTGTTCACATGCTGTTTCACCTCGACTACAAACATCAGCCTCTACATTTAGAAATGGCGCTAAACATTCAGCAGTTGCTTCAGGTGTAACAAAATATGATTGCGTAGGCGGAGAAGCACTACCGGAATGAACGATTACTTCTTCCTATAATTATAAACAGAAGACAAGTGTTTACTCTTGCAAAAAAATCAAAGATTTAAAAACTAAAAAATGCTAAACAATGTTTTACACCATAATATTAGAGATAATGTACAGCTACAATTTTTTTTTCGGCAACATTGTTGTACATCAAGAAATTAAATTACCCTTACCAATTCTGGAATCGGAATCTCCACTGCAACCTCTGATAAATTGGTACACTTTGAATTCCTGCTGTTATAGATGGTACTTTCAGGTTCTACCTGATCAGGATTTGAAGATTGTGACTGCGTGGTTAAATCAATTGGCGGAGCAATCACTACTTGTCTATCAATACTAAACTGCGGAGGAAGTATGAATGCAGCTTCTCCAGACTCATAGTTGATAATCTCGGGACTTCTGTTTTGTAAAAGTAACTCTGATGTCTCATGCAGCTTCATTCCAGACAAATCCAATCTACAAACTCCGTAATATTTCCTTTACACATATAAAACTTCAATAAAACGAGAATTTCGGTAAGGTTCTGAGTATTTGCTCCGGATAACAAAAGTACCTTCTTGGCGGGCCAGGCATCACTTCAGCAAGTAATTCTGGCAAGAATGCACCAATGCGCGTAACAGTCATATCGTACAAATCAGGTATGGTACTGAACATTTCAGTATTATCCATGACAAGAATCATATTCTTTAACGATTCCGGAATTGCTTCTGATAAAAGATCACTACGATCTGCATGAAGATACTGGTCCATATAATCCAGCAAACGTAACCACAGGGATCGAAATGATTCCAGCGAACTCAAAGGACTGAAAAAATTTCTAATCTCCATTTAGTAATGAACAGAGATTTTAATAACCTTATTAAGACCTGATGACACTGAAGGGACTTGAACGATAACAAAATTCCAAGAAATGAAAAAAATATCATAGTAACTTGAAGCAATAATGAAAATCTTTGCGATTCTAATTCCTTTGAATCAGATTACTGAGGAAAAATCTAATGCATCCTTTATAAACTTAAAGTTACAGTTTTCAAATCCGAAAAGATAAGATAAATTAGATTTCATGATAAAATATTTAAACCAACGTTAGATGATTGAGCAGAATTTTCGAAATGAGTTGCATAACTCGTACTCGTGTCTCCTCCATTCCAATTGGATCCATTGGTGATAAATTTTCAAGTAGTTTTTGCAGCAGAGGAAAAAGTACCTCGCCAAAACATTCTTCCCACTGCTTGCCTTTCATCGCTTGCATTTCAGGTATTAGGAAGGACCTCTATGAAATTTGGAGTCAAATTAGTGCTTAAAATTCGTAAATGATTAAAACATGGAAACTTACCACGAGAAAATTAAGCGCTTGCGTTCTTACTTGTCGCCTACAGTCACAGCAAAGACGAGCTATACACTGCAAAAGTGGTCGCCAGCAATGGTTCCACAGAGCTGATAAACTCGCATCAATCTGAAATATAAAGGCATCAACTGAAAAAGCAGCATACTGTTTCAGTATATAATATGAATAATTAAAATGACTTAATAATAAACAGGCATAAAACCAATAATGGCTACAAAAAAGTGAATATAGCTCACTTCAGCCCCACCATCAGCCCAGCTATGATATACCGTAGCACCTTTCACATGTAACGTATGACACAAGTCAAGTATCTGGAAGGCAACCTGCAAAAAAACAAAATACATCTATTGAATATTATGAAAAGGACAAAAATAGCGACTTATTCATTTTATTGAAATAAAAAGGAGTAGAAAGATGAAACAGATCAAGTTTTCGTCAGACTGCAAATTACAGTAAAACTGAAAACCATAACCTGCTGATAACTTGCTGATAATTTCTGTGGCTCAGCTTGAGATGGCACTTCTTCATCATAATTATTGCCGGCCTTCAGAGATAAATGTCTGTGGTTGGTTCTATCTGCAATGTGAGTTCCAATTTGCAAATTTTCACCTACCCGCTAAACGAACTATTAAATTTCCAGCTAAGTAATCATTTGTTCATAACATTATAGACTGTTGTTTGATAAATCAATAACCTTGTTTAGCATTATATTTTGACTTCTCGTCCTTTAAAACACTCCGCAAATGACTTTGGACATCACCACTGAGCGGACCAGCAGCATATCTGCAGCATTTGAAATTTGTTTGAACTTTTGACTATAAAATTATCTCAAACAAATAAATAACTGTTAGCAATTTAATTTACAAAACTGCATATGAGAAAATTAGAAATGAAAATATGCATACCTCCCACCATCCAGACTAGCTTCAGTGCATGATCGCAGACACTCTATACACGAATCGAAGTTGTCCGGAGTGATGTGCGCTGCATCTCGTGCCAGAAATGCTAGCGTTTCCCCCACTTTAAGGAACGCTAAAGGATCGTGTCTAAAATAAAATAATTCGTGTTCCAAATTAAATCAAGAAATTATATGTAAATACTTGAAATATTACTTTTGTAAAATACTAGACGATATAAAATTTTGGAAGATCACCTGACGAGATTAGTACGTAGTACAACAGTACCGCGATCGAAAACACTCGAATACAAATGCTGCTTTCCAGTTGGCCTAAGTTGAAGTTGCTGCTGATGCGCAGCAAGTGCTGCTGAAACGAATTCATTTCGAAATTTCTGTTCATGCGAAGTCGAAAAGGTACCCAAACTTTCGTAACAAAATAAAGTATGGATCCTCGAACAAAGACAAGGAAAAGAACCGGGGTGGAACCACTATCAACTGATTTTGCTTCTCAGTAAATAAAATAGATCAAGTAATAGCAAGTATTCCTCCATAAACTGAAACATACTATAATGACAACTCTTTTCATCTCATTCTTTTCCTCATCATTTCTAAGCAGACTGCATATCCAAGTGTTAATTAAAAATGAAGAATTAATTTCTAATTAAAACAAACCATCTTTATGATCAACATGGATCCATTCAGTGCTTGTCTCCTTTAATAATGAAGCTGCACTATCAATATGTTCCGAAAGAGTAGAAAAGGATGACACTGATCCTGCAAAACAACATTCGATAAGTTTTACAAAAATATTTTTGCATATGAACTTCTGGTTTATAAGCAAAATTAATAATATAAAATTAGATTATAAATATTAGGCGAAAGCTAACGGAAATATAGTACACACCTTGAACCACATCAGATGTGTAACCTTTGTCAACAGAGGCTGTTTCACCCGCGTTATCAACTCGAGGACGGTTTAGACTTGGTTCCGTATCGCTATGCACTTGCCGATTCATAATTTTTGATTTTCTTTGAAATAAAGCAAGCTGGAATTTGAAATAAAGTAAGCTGGAAAAAGAATTTTAAAAATTTGCGGAAAGTTGTTGGTCTTTCATTCTAATTTATACCAAACCCGCACTACATAAATTCGCACATTACAGTTTGTGTTATTAGGAGTAGTACTGCAGTGAAGAAGGTACCCTAAACGTATCAATAACAGCTCAATTCTCTTCGAATCACAATAAGTAAAATGTAGAAAAAAAAGCACGACTAATAACTTACAGTATCAAGATGCATATTGAAATCTTCCGGATAGACACCTGCTCCTGCAGCTTCCATTAATCCAAAAATAATTGCCCAATGTTCACGCTTGTGTACATTTGCAGCATTTGTACGCAACAATTCATGTAAGCCGTATGCAATTTGCCGAGAAAACATGAACATGGCTGGAGGTGGCAGATTCTGAAACAAAAATAACAACTAATCTGACTTTCAAAACTATGTTTGATAATTTAGGTTAGCTACTTAATCTTGAGAATATGCCATAAAGAAATACCAGCAGAATTCCTAAAGACTGAAGCACTTCATCAGCAATATCATCTTTAAGATGGTACAAATTCCTGTTTGCAATTCTTAACAAGCCGACGACAGCCCTCTCCACAATCAATGGATTCCGACCAAAATTACTCATAAGCCATTGTAAATGCTGCTTGATCGGTGTCCATATTTGAAACAGGCGATCTTTATTCTCCAAGGCTATGCTAACCATCATTTCCAGATAAAGTACAAGTGCATCCTCTTCCTAAAAAAATGTTCCGGTAATTGCATGCACAGAGACAAACTAAGTGTGATGTAGTAATCAAAATTCAAAAATATATTCATGATCTTCTGCTAAGGTAAGAAAAAATTAGGAATTTTTCGATTAAAACTCAAACAGTAACAAGCTACAATGGCTTTCGCTTGTGAAGTTAGTGGGAATGTAATTAAAACTAAAAAATCTGAGAAATAGAAATAATGGTTAAGAAACAAAAAAAATTCTATTCTAAACGCTAACTTGTTCTTTTAACTTCCTTGCCACAGGTTCACCTTTATCCATTTCAGCGTGAGCAACATTTGTAGATGTTTGAATAATTGTACTAATGAGCTCAGAAAGTGCGGATGAAGTGAGATATTTTCCATCAACGATGAGTTGTTCCGGATGACATTCAACTATCACTTCTTGAGCTATCTGAATGATACGTAATTTTTGTTTGAACAGTTTCCAATCTAACTTTTGATTTTATAATTCAGCAGTCGAAATTTACTTTCGGAAATGCTTTAAAACTTAAGAAGTCTAGATGCAAAAACTTACTTTAATAAACTGTTGTTGATCGGCAGTTGGCGTAGATTCCTTGTTGTCATAGTTCGAGCCAAGTCCAAGCCAGCTAAGCAAACCAGATTCGTTTCGGTTTGTTGATAATTTCCTGAAAAATGGGAACTGAGGAATCGATTTATTTTAGCTATATTTATGATTTATATAACAAAACTTACGGCGGCGGTGCTCGCTGTATTGAAACCCATCCTTTACTATCTACAAAATCCTCCACTTCCGTTACTGCAGCGGGCAACAGGCGAGCATAAAACAAGCGCAAAATACTGTCGAGCACATTTTTCCAGCCCTATGGTTAGCAAGGATCAATTACAAAAGGAATATTTTCACTATGCAAATACTTGATGACAATTTAAAACTATGTATTAATGAATTAGACCACACCTCTCGAAGAATGTCACCATGAGCCTGGACCAGCTGGAACATAACTCTTGCGGCCATTTGTGCTTTTGTATTTTCACCGAAGGCAATTGCAATCTGTTCTGCACTTTGAGTAGAATTTTCATTCAAAACTCCATTTTGTCGAATTTCCAAATTCTGTTCAGGATTACCTACAAATTACAATAATAAACAAACAACAAACCAATGCTATTGCATGACGAAAAAGTCCCCTCCCCCAATCCTCCAGCACCTTTCTCTTTAAGTCTTTGATCAATTCTTTTTCGAAACCAAAGAAGCGACATTTGTGACAAACTATTTTACCTTCATTTGTGGACATTAGTGTGGAAAATTTGCACAAATGAATAATTAAATTATCGAAAACATCGCTCATTCCATAATGTGCAGCTATGGATGCACATTTGCGATATCCATTCAACACTTTCTGAAATGTCGATTTCGATGACTTATCTGTATCTCCGAAGTAAATGACAACAGGAAAACTGATTATGGGCACTATTTTTTTGTACCTGTAAAATGGACTCTCTTCCACTTTTGTCAAATACAAATGATAATGCCGCGGAAGCGGGACCCCAAATAATACTAAACAAATCATGATCATTCCATCCTGCTGGTACATGGATGAATTCACCTTCTTTCGTCTCACCACGTCGTAATAAAACCTAAAAAATTTAATCTGTTATTAGAAAAATGAAAATTTGAAATGTTGTTTTCTCTTTCCTAACATCTCAACAAAGTCTTCCGTATTGCAAAATTACCTCAGCTACAATATTATCTCAAACCAAAACATCGTAAAATTTTCCAAATTTAATTTTTTTTCCATCCCAATCATTAAAATGATTTAGATAACTTCAAATCCGCTCCCATTTATATCATTCTTTAACAATGTGTTTCAACTCGAATTAATTACCTCATCATTTATAAAAATTTTTAATTCAAATTTAGTTATTGTCTTATAAATTATAGAAATTTACCTTCCATAAATAATTTTCCTTTACAATTCCAACTTGCTCAGCAGGCATCACAATTTCTTCATTTCTGAAAAAGCTTTAAAGTTGAATAATGTTTAGTAATGTCAAATAAAATCACATTTTTGCAATAGATCCGATTTTTTGCAATAGATCCGATTTTTTTCTCCTCAAATCTTAAGTATTTTCATACCGGATAGCATTGTACATTTCATCCAACATTGCGGGGTCGAAATCTTGGCCACCGTTGGTACCTGATAAATTTCGCTTGAAACATTCCGCTTGCATTGGTCGTTGATTTTTCCGCACCTAAAACCACATTTCTCTTTATATATAGACTAACCAGTGTTTCCATATAATATTTAATATATTACAATAGGTAATTTTCAAAACTGATTAATTATACCAAAACCAGTTTGTTTTCGTTTTTTTTAAAAATAAATTCCAAGATAAATGGAGTATGAAAAAAAAAAAAACCTGTGGATTGTGTTGATCTGTGTTGAGCATAATGACTGCATAGGCTAACGTGAATGCTGCATCAACGTGGTTGAAGGGTTCACCGTTTGCAATATACCAGTGATCTGAGTATTCAAAAAAGATGAAAATATAGAAGAACGGTAAAACAAAGGTTAAAAGCTAGTAACAAGTTTCAACGATGAAGTCCTATGTTAAATGAAAATTTTAATGAAACAATAAAACATTGAGAAAACAACTGTCTAATAAAAATAAATTTAATATGACTGGACATTTCAATATTTAGTTAGGAATTACTCACCCCTCCTCTTTTTTGTTAGAAAAGTGGAAATTCAAATTAATTTTATACAAATATTATTGCTAACAAATCTAATAAAGGCTTGCGCTTATTCATCAGATAATAAATTCCATTTTTATTCATTTGCTCTAGAACTTCATGAGGACAAATATTTGTATGTAAAAAATTTGCTTGAAGTTATTCAGAAATTAAAAGTTCCTCAACAAAGAATGCATTGTCCACGAAAATCGATAAATAAATCATTCAAGTTTCAACAGGAACAAACAAGGAACAATAAATACTTGTGTGTTTGTGTGTTTTAATAAAATCTAGCACCATATTTGTGCACTAACCTGCAAAATGCTGCATTACCATTGAGATTTCTGCAGCTTCTCCAGGTAATCTAAATGTTTCCAGAAACATACGTAAAGCGTCATCCAGACGAGTATTTCCGAATGGGAATGACCGAACAAACGCATCCAACACAGCGGCATTTTTTCGGCTGCAGTTTACGGCGGTAAACATTAAATTTAAAAATATTGCGGAACGCCAAAAGTGCAATGGAAATTTCATTACATATCATACTTTCTGACCTTCTTTCTCTTTTCTATGTATCTTTCTCATTCACTATTCTCAAAAAATACTCAACAATTCATCGATAATCTAATACACACTTTAATAAGAGACACCGCTGCTTTGTTTCATAGACACTACCAACAAACCAAGTTAATATCTGATTTATGAGTATGCAAACTTCAGTATTCTGATAAGGCACCGCAAGCAATCAGAAATACTGTATAAGATTGGAAATATAATAAACCTGCAGATGTAATCGGCAATCCGCTTTTTGTCGAGATGTGGATTCTCTTTTAACCATGCCACAACATCTACAGGATCTAATGGTGATTTTAAAATTCTCTTCTCCTTAAGGAATTCGATTCCTACAAAAATTTTCAGTTATATATTTTTCCGCATGATCGACTTAAAATTATCATCTTAAAGTTGAATTTTTTTTTGACATTGCGAACCTTTCTTCGGATCTTGATTGAATAATTCCGTCGCTTCTGTAATAATTCGTTTTTTCTTTTTCCTTTCGATAACTTCTATAATTGATGGAAGAGCAGACGACGGAGCCATCCGATTTGCGTGCAATGCCGAAGAAGGTAAAAATGTTTCAAGAAGCGCCGTTTTCCCCGCCGCAGTAACTGCTTAAAAAAAAAAGTTGAAATATTATGAAGGGTTGTTAATTATCGAAGATCTAAAAATAGATTCTGAAAATAAAAGGTTTTATAGTAAAACTAAAAAAAAATGAAAGAACCCACAAATAATATCAATTAATTCAGTTCTAATCTTCGCTAACGATTTACACCCATCAAAACTAGTTTACTCGACCTAAAATTAACTTGCTAGACTGAATTAACATGTGTAACTTTGAAAATGCTACTCTTCAACACGTATAACTTCAAAAACATTTATGATGCATCGTCATATTAGACGTCTAAATCAAAAAAGTATAAATGTATTAGGCAAATTCTTCCGATTTTAACAAACTTTGATATATGCACATCATTTTGATTCGTGCTTTAATAACCTACATAAAGTTTCATCGATCGCACTCTGTCTCCCAAAAGCATATCCACTGATAGCTGGTAAATGCATCTGCATCGGTATCGAACTAAAAATCCCATAATAGATTAAAAACATGGTGATAAACAGAAAAATTCAAAAATAATATATCTACACCAAACAAAGTCAATACTTTCTAAATTTGAGTAATAATCTGCACCTACGTTGAAATAGCGGTTTTGTGATGAACACCACCAGCCTGTCTGTACACACAGTTATTATCAATCGTATCAATTACAGTCAGCAAACCATCAAGCGATAGTAAATTGATAGAACGTAGGCCCAGGACAGGAAACGCATTTTCAAGAAGAAGCTTAAAATAACAAAATAGTAAAATTTTTTAATTTCAAAATTCTGCATTGTATAATAATTAATGAATTCATGAAACATGCGTGAGAAAAGAAGTAATGTTTACTTTAGTAAGATCTTCAAAAAGATTTGAGCAGTATAAATCACAATCATAATTCAAATAAATTTCCGTAACTAGTCCTGCTATACGCCATAACTGCACAATACTTTCCAGTGCCATCTCCTTCTGTTCATAACTAATACGGGTCTAAAATGTCAGAAAATTTTATTTACATGTACCAAAACTTTAAAATGAAACATGTTAATTTTCTTCATGCCAATGTTTCAAAATAAAGAGGAACGGAAAACTTCAGAATGATCAGAATAATATAAAATGCAAATGGAACCTGTTCACTGGTTACGATTGATTGCAACTTTAGAAAATACATTTCAAATTGGAATTTCAAGTCCGAACGAAGACCCTCAAACAGCAGGAAACAGACACGATTTGTTGCAGCGAACACGGGTAACTTTTCGGTATCCAAAAGCTAAAAACAAATCTGTCAGTTCCAGATCACAGCATTGTTCACTTTTAGATCTATTGTTAACATATAATTTGGAGGTTTGTTAACGAAATTCCGTCAAATGTCACATTACATTTAATCGAAATTAGTGATTGTAAACGTGAACGAAAAGTCTTCGTAGCGGCTTTCTATGATGATGTGCGATTATGGAGAACTGTGACACAACTGTTAACAGTCAGCTATCGTTTCAATACCTTGAATTATGACTTAAATTATTCAAATTAGAAATATGAAGTAATACTTGTAACAGCGCCCGACAAAGTTCATCTTTCACCAGCGGCATCAATAACGAAAAATTGCGCACATGATCAGCGCCAGCTTCGAGTGCAACAGTGAGCAAATTTAAAGCCATCAAAATCATTGATTCCGTATTAGCACGATCCAATGGATTAGTCAGGGCAATTAAAAACCTATTAAAAAACTTGAACTTCAAAATCTTTAGCACAGTTTACACTAAAGTTCCCTTGTTTTTTGAAGGTAATAAACTGGTAAATCAAGCGGCCCGCCAAAGATGTGTCATAAATAATCGTTCCATGACTACATAAGCTTTTATACATGCTCAAATGACTCATTGCAATTTTTCGTGGACTCTAATTTGGTAAGTTTTGATTCACTCGCCCGTTCAGTTTATCAGTTCCTATCCTAAGACTCTTGCTTCTGTCAACATAATCTTAAATCTTCATAATTAGAAACTTTTAAAACCAATACTGATACTATTAACCTGAGTAGTTCACGGACACACGGTATACCGTATGGTATGTGAGCGGTTGAATTTGAAGCAATTGTCTCTGTGAAGGGTGTCAGTTTTTCATCATTTAATACAAAATTTTCCTAAAATCAAATAATATTAATCATTTTTATAGATTCATGTCCTACTTGCAAAACTTCCACAAATAAGCAGTATAACTACCTTTTCATAATCGGATATTGGCTTCACCATCTCTTCAGGATTTTTTATCCTTTTTCTGATCACTCGTCCCTTCTCGTTATTCTCTTCCTCAGATGATTTAGAACTCTGGAAACTATTAAATCAATAGCAAAAATATTTATAGATCGGAAGCTCGCTACAGATAGTGACTGATCGAAAGAAACAATCTGTAACTAACATCATCATTGTCTGGCAAAACACCATCATCTGAATCAAGTCTTACTGCTTCGAAAAATTCGCTAGATAGCTCATTAGCGGTAGTAGTGCCATAACACTCGACAGTTTCGGGCTGTTCAGTCAAATGCTGATGAGAGTCGATACCAACTATAAAAAAAAAAAAAATTTCCGAAATTCAATGAGCTCATTACTTCCATTTCAGAAAAAATTTTTAGAAAATGACGAGACGACTTAATTTCATATTTGATAATTCCACAACCAAAACTAAACCAAAATCTTGATTCTAAATAAGAAAGTGCAGATTTGCTGAAAAAGATAAGTTAAACACAAGAATTAGAGCACTACTTTCGGAAAATACATAAGTTAAATTTTTCCACCTTTTTTCTAGGATTTTAGAGTAATCACCTATAATGCTACAATAGTATAAATGGGAAAAATGTTTCACTGATGTTTCAATATTTTATAACATTACTTGTTTCTGCTCCATCGATAACAGCGGCTCGAGGATTATTTTCAAGCAGCTTTCTATCTTTACTTTGTAAAAATGACACCACTTCGATCGAATTTAATAGATCAGCATTTTGCACCGATCCAACGCCGTTACCGCTTTCATGGCTATTTTTTTCTGGCATCAACTCCACATCTTCTTTCTTCGACTAAATTTGAAAAGGTAAAAAAGACGACAATAATTAAGCCTAGTACAGAAATTTTATGTACAGTTAAAAGAATCTAAAAGCACTGAAAATCGAAAATCGCTTAATATCCAGTAAACATTTCAAATATTAAAAAGGGTAAAATTAAAGTATATCTAACTTGTCGAAGTGCTAGGACATCATTCTCAATGTCGTGCTTTTCCCCTTTTTCATTCTTTACAATATCATTAAAGTAAGTCTTTCGTCTCTTTCTCTTTCCCGCTAAATGACCAGCACGTTTTACCTGAAAAACAAAACCAAAATTTGAATGCACTGAAAAGTGAAACACTTCAAAATTATTTTAAGTTGAACTTCATAAATTGAAACCCCTCTGAGCCTCTTGATAAAATTTCTTAAAGCATACAGAGACGGCCTAATATTGTCTACCAACTATCATGGAATAGAATTTAATTCTATATGCTTACCTTGAAAATTCTCATAAATTTATAAGTCTAAAAAGATTCTCAAAAAGATAAATAAACACTTCTGAACGGCACTAACTAATCTTTATTTTAAAGTTATCCATCACATAATATCAGGCTTATATTTTATATCGAGGAATTTGAAAAGATTTACAATGCAAATTCAGAAATTAGTACCAATTTTCGGATGTACGGATGACGAATATCTTCTTGAAATGTAGGTAGCCTAGTGAATAATAGCTGAGTCATATCAGATAAGGTAGCTTCAGCAACTTCACGTAAAAGTTCGCTTAAAGCAGGTTCAAAACTGATCCGAAAACAACTTTGCATCATTTCGCAAACGCTTTCATTGGAGAGCAATCGTCCAACTGGTGTAAGCATAAGAGTACGCAGTACCTAAGAAATAAAAAAACTAAAGTTTTAAAGGCGATAATAAAGTCTCTCGTTTGAAACGGAAATTAGTGTACAATTACATCAAATGAGAAGCTTGAAAAGTAAACCACTTTTCACTTATGATGAAACTAAGTGGAGAATTATTTACTACCATCTAAAGAATTAAAAATTATTCTAAAGAATTAGGATACTAAAGAATTAAAATTATTCCTCCAAAAACTGCAAATTCAAATAACCTGAAGAATTTTTAGCAGAACGACTTCATCTCTGCCACTGTCAGCACTACCAATAAATTTTGCATGTGTTACGGCATCCGCAATATTTTCTACTGCATTTGATGCTTTTATACTGCAATATTTACAACTACTGACAACTGACCGTGAAAAAATTTTAGAAATCATAAATTTGGGAAAGAACTGTTGTGAAAACTGAACTTAGAATGAAAAATAAAAAATAACCTTGAACTATCAATTAATCCATAACTAAGAAATTTAGCAACGGACGATAAAGCTTGCGCCGTTACTGGACCATTGGTTTGATCAGAACGTATCACATCCAGAAATGGACTTAGGAATGTGTCTGGATTCATATCCGACAAATCGTTTACCTTAATTATAATATTTATAATAGCTTGAAAGGTTACACTTGCAAATTTCAAAACTAAAGGAACATAAAAAGCATTCGTTACCCCAGGCATAAACGATCGTGAAATCGACTTTGTAAACGTTTTAACCTTTGGATACTGATTAAGCAGGGAGATAAAGTAATCTGCAAGAAGGTAACAGAAGGATGAATAAGTGGTCTGCATTAAAGATAAAAAGGATGAAGAAAGAAGGACAAGAACCAAAAAATACGGAGTAAAATTATCTTTATCTATTATTCACTCACCAATTTTCATCGTTTTGCTTCGGTATTCACGCGAATAAGATTTAAACATCTGGACATGCGTGAAAGAAAATTGTGACTGAAGAGGTAGTTTTTCGATCTTTCCCTCTTCCCAACCACTCTGCCCCCCTTTTTTTATCGTCAATAAAAGTACAAAGAAAATGAATTTCCTGATACGATTCCCCATTTACCGATTTAGACCGGAAAATATTCAAAATTGTAATTCAGCTTCTCAGATTTAAAATTTTAAACATATTAGTATACTTACAGAATTGAAAACATCTCTTAGATCTGCGAAATTCCTTAATAATGGGTCGGTTTCATCAAGTAATGAATGTCCTAAATGAATCTGTTGCTGATGATGGGACCAGTTTCGGTGCGTTTTTTTCAACAATGCTACCACAGCGTTGGCTTCACCCTGAACTACGTATAAACCATTCACCGCCATAGATTCACCATACGATTCCAATTTCAGAAAAAAAAAGATTTATTGGTTGACTTTACCTTAAAAGTTTTTATTTGTTATGTTGATAATAAATTAAGTATAGAACGCATAAACAATGCTGAAACTGGAGAACTGGAAAATCACGAGTTGATTACAAACATCGCCATAACACGTTTAAGTTATGATATGTTGGAATTTCAATCATAAACATGAAACATCGAGGACAGGAAAAAATCAAAAAAAGCAGTGGAAAATGAAAAAATACCCAGAAGATACAGATGACCGCAACATCTTATCTGAGACATTTAGAAGGGTAAAAAGAAGAAAAAAGAAGTAACTTCAGATAATTATACTAAAATCATGTATAAACTAGAAAACGCCCCACTAATCCTTGCATTCTCCACAAAGCCCCAACGATCTGTGCCAAAAATGCGCCCGAAACATTTGACAGATTATGCAAAGGAATTTTTAACTGTAGTGTTCATCGATATTATTAGTAACATTAATAATAATCAGCTGTTTTCTATAAAGGAATATACTGAGCAAAGCTGAAAAAAAATTAATGAAATGAGAATAAGTTAACTGAGGAAATGCTTTGGAAATTGATCTCTCTAATAACTACCGCATCTGAACGTCTGCAAGGCAATTTGCCAATGAGTAATACAATAATGGGAAGAATTGAAAAAGAGAATTAAAGTATGAATAAGATGCAATTTCGCTCTCCTTCAACTATCTCTTCAAAAACAAGACAACGCTAACATACTACCTTGGTGGTAATATCATCTCGCGTAAAAAAGACGTAAGGACGTCCGCATGAGAAATATATACAAGTAGTTCTCCTTCATTTGAAAATGCAATACTCGCATGAAGCAAATAAATATCCGCATCCCCCGTACAACTCTCATCACCACGCTATCCAGGGACGTATTACACGCGGCCCGCCACCATGATGGCACAATGCAAAAGTTGTGGTTCCAAATACCTTGCTGCCAACAGTGCAATCGTACTCCTACACTTCCCTCACCCTTCGTCTTCTCTCTTTCCTGATTTGTCCGCTTTCCCTATTAAAGAATATTTGTACTCGATTCAAGTCAATTTACCTATTCTTTCCGATCTCTCCTCTTTCCTTTTCATTCAATGTAACTATTCTTTCCAAAACAAAAATGCCACTTCGAATCTTCTGTTTGGTGATTCGTGCCTCACGACAGACTCGAATTTTCGACAATTTTTTAAAACTGTTCAAATGAAACAAGATGAAAAAGTATAAACATGTGAAATATCTTTGGCATTTGTAAATTCCATTATGTCATATGTCATCATTTACCTGTCATATTATCTATTACATTCATTTTAATCAACATTGTCCGATAACTTGAGACTCCAACACTTAAAAATTTTCAATCGTATTTTAAATATTACTACAAACAACAATTAAAAAAGTCACTGTATAAGGCTGAGAAGTGGCATTTTTTCGCAAAAGAAGGAAATGAACACGTATTATCCTACGAACAATCAATAAATTCTTTATGTACTTATGGAAAAAGCAACAGTAAGTCTTATATATACATATCACTTGTGAATAATTGTAACAAAAACAAGAGCATATGTCACCGTTACTTGCAAATATCTACTACCATGCCATCATTATCACTTCTGGTTAATTCCTTGAATTTTAACTTCTCTAGCTGGCTTTACCTGTTAGTCAGTCTTAACATTCGATCAAATCCAAAAAACGTCATACACATATTACAGCTTTAAGAAAAGAAAAATTTGTAATCAGAAATTTCGACTGAAGACCTCAAAAAACCTGTATAATCAATTACTCGTTTGGTTTCTCCCAGAACCAGTGCGTCGATATCCATCCAGCTCTTGAGAAGGGCCATATCCTGAGTATCAGACGAACTTGTACAAGGCCAGCCGGTATTGGACCAAAAACCCGAGAATCGGTAGAAGCTACTGTATTGTCACCTTCTAAGTATACGTGCCCCCGTGGAATCTTCCCATTTGGTAGCAGATAGCAATTTGTCACTGTATCATGCTCCATAGCTGTTAAACGTTTGCAAAGCATTTCGCTCGAATCATGAGGTGCCAAAGCGCCAACAATATCACCACGTCGTAAATTACGTAAATGGACACTAAGCCGTTCAGCAATTACCTACAATTGCGGGATTTATCAAGTTAGGATTTAATTAAACAAGATATTTATTATTGAATCGGGGTAAAATGAAGATCATGTATAAATCAGAGCTAAATAACATAAAAATACAAAGAGATTTCGCAAAATTTTGGATGGATTTAAAACTGGACACTCAATCATTCAAAAACTATTTGAACAATTATGTTCCAAGATATGAAATTAATGCAATTCACTGGTCAACAATCACTTATTTAAACTCTTAGAAATTTAGTAAATAGCCCTATCAACCGTTGGATGGAAGATAAAACAAACTTAGACAACCTATTTATACTTTTCTCTTCTAGGTTTTACAAATCACGATGGAATAGTACCCACCAAATCACCATCCTGTATTGTTGGATGCATTGACGGGCCTGAACATATCACTAATTCACCGACATGACGACCCAGAGCATATGAAGCACAATAGAAATAGCTAAAATTTCGTATGAGACGCCAATTTAATCGTTTCCAAAATAGCATATCATTTGAAGCAACTTATACCCTATTAACCTGAAAATGAAGGAATATGTCCTGCATGCGGACGGAAAAGTGAGTGAAAGAAGATTAAGTGATAAGTGTAACGAATTACACAGTCTTGGTCGAGCTTTTTTACTGGAAAATACGTCATTCATTGAAACGTATGAAGTATGGAGGATTTAACGAGTGGATGCTTAAAAATAAACCAAGGTCAGTGGAAACGTTATCACCTCATGACTTATACCAAACTGTCACTAAGCGAATCCCGAGTCATCCGTTTCCTTTAATTAATCGAAGAAATACATTTGTCAACTTGGAGATGCTGTTCTGGAACCCGTTGTTACAATGGAATTCCCTCATCAATATCAAGAATTGGAGAACCCATGCATTTATCTGCTGGTGAATAGTGTCATTCGCTTTTCGTTGTTGTCTTTCTTACTTCTGGAGAGACATTTCCGGAAATTTAAGCAATAGGCGAAATGTCAAGGAGAGCCTCGCCATCAAATATCGTAGGACAGTTTATTTCTCTTTTACTTCGCTCTTATTTTCCATTATTATCAGTGCTCCTGATGATGATATTCATTTGAGCTTTCCAAAAGCCATGTCTAATAGAGACACCCGAAATTGCAATAAAATGCAAAATCAATGCAGATGATAGCTCGCAATGAATCAAAAATGAACATTTAAAAGAAGACGATTGTCAGCGAGGCTAACACTTGAACCGTAAATAAAAGGCAACACCCAAATGTTACTGTCCAACATATCTGTTATTGAACAATAAAGTTCGAATTTATAATAGACAAAAATCTTCTTGAAACTTCTTCACCACTTATTTCAGAACAGGGTCAGCTTTTATAAAAAATCATGTTATAACCACGAAATTTCAATAGTAATAATCATAACCCCGGCAAAAGAAAATGATAATAACAGCTTGCAGAACTACTGAATAAAATGTGCATTTCTCCAACACTTTAAAATTTTTTAAAGTGTTAGAGAACAAAAACTTTAAAGAATTAAAACACAAAATGCTTGGCAAAAATAAAAAACTTACGTCGTTAAAACACAAAAAAAGCAAAAAAAAATAAAAAAATATAGAAATTTGAAACACATAAGATGTAAAAAGATATTAAAAAAAACACAGGAGCAAAAGGCAATTTCGTGTAATATATTAATTGTACTCATCTTTAATTTCCTCATACAAAAATACTTAAAATTGTGTTGGAGCTTCATAGTAAATATTCAGGTAGAGGACACAAATGTGCAACTTATATAAGTCAGTTCGATTCGTCATCTATGTAGGAGGTTGCTTGTTCTCTGGTAGTAGAACATTGTGTTCGAAATGCACGGTCTACAGCAACCGCCTAAACTAATATGCTATGTACATTAAAAACATTGTTAAAGTAAAAATCCCCAGATGTTTCTAACGAAACGCGTGGCATACCATAGTGTGTGACATGTGCCAACAAATTATGTCATTTATCGATATCATAATAGTCCAACGAAATTCAAGTGAAATTTTTCTACATGCTATTAATTATCAATCATTCTACTATAAATCATTCTAGTCGTAATGATGGAGAATAAAATATATCCTAACCTTTTCCCAACTCCCGAACCTCACTCTGTGCGAATTACTATTGAAGTCTGCAAAAATAGTAATCATCTCGGTTACAGAATTTCTTTTGTTTAACAAGATTGCTGTGACAGTATCACTGATTTTAATCATGTGAACTTGATCGCTAACTAGACTTCTATGTGCCAATATTGGCATACGTGAGAAATAATAGCGCACCAAAGATAAGAGTTTCAAACATTTTGTAAAATTGTAAAACCTTTACAAATAAACCTGAATGGCTCTTACTTCTTTGCAGCATGTGGTGATTCCTTGCAAACTTTGATGCATGTTTCAAAGACAAGCCACCACTACCTGAAAATTTCTATCAAATTTCCTTCAAACGCGCAAAATCTTCTTCATTGGAATCTTTTCTGAACTTATTAAACAAAATCTTTTCACTCTGAAAATCTTACTTTTTCACTTTGAAAAAGTCGAATCAGAGATTTAGTAAGATAATATACTATCTTTTCGTAATTACAGAACAACCGCAACTTACCCCTATCAAAGGAATTTCTTGTCCTGCCATCTCCCGATATAAAACCGACTCTATTTCTCTCCGATAAATCGCTGTCATACCATTCTCTCTGTATATTTTGCAAATTATTGCCTCGAAATCTGTAAGTGAAAATTTCAGCAAAAAAGTTCATCAGTCAACAAGTCTGATAAGCCCAAATAAATGCAAATATCATAAACATAAATCGAGCGGTAAATCACTATGATGCGATTATTTAAACTAATACTGTTCAATAAAATTCAATAAGTAAATCCAAAACACTCAGTAATAGATAACTATGATGACACCCAGAAAATGAATTATATCTACCTTTGATGGATATAATTTCGAGAACAAACTGAATATTTAGCACTGTTTTGAGGAATGCGGGTATTCCCTATATTCCTTGTTTGTGAATTTTGAAGTTTCGGAGTCTGTTCATATCCAGTAGATGGTAAAGCTGTGTTCGGGACTGGCATTGACATCATCATTGGTAAGACTACTGGCATTATCATCGAAAATGGAGGAAGACAACAAAGCGACCTGGATTAATGAGTAAGTAACACGATTTTAAAAACTAAATAATAGGATCAAAATTCAGAATTTTATCCAATCACAACTAACTATGTCTATACAAGCTTTATCTCCGCATATCAAATTGTTGGCATGAAAAATTAGCATCATAATTTTAGTATTAGTAATCAGTATCAGAAGCAACATAATGCTTGAACAAAAATGTAAAAGCACCGAGTATGTTGAGTTTGTGTTGCCAAATAATGGTTTTCAGTGTTCAGTGTTTCTAACATCATCGATGCCATCAATTGTCGCTCATGGGTTTCACTGGGCGGCTTGCCGCTTGACGAAGTCCCTTCCATCTCTCCCATACTGCCTGTCTTTTTTTTAAAGTTATAAAAAATTGGCAATTGTAAAAAATAAATCAAGTTTTGAACTGTACCAGTCATATCGTCGATAGTCCTGCCAGCTTTCAGCAAGTCAACCAAACATACATCTTGAATCGGGCATCTTTTCACTCTTATATAGCAATTTGTTCCCCTCGAGAGATCCTGCAAGCCTCTAATAATTTTTTTTTTCAAGACGATTTAATAATTCAATGCAGCAATTTTGTCAGTGCAATGCTATAGTATTAAAAATGTTAATAGGACTAATCACAATCACTTATTAAGATCGAATTCGCTTTAAAATGTCGATACCTTCAGAAACACACCTTGGCATGTAGTACAGTGGTCACATCCTCTTGACAATGTATCATTGCTACTGGTAGATTCCGAATTGGATTAGACTTCAACAAGATGAGTTATGGCAAAAAAAAAACAGCAATTCTACAACATGGCTTTAGCGTAGGATATTCTAGCAGTGAAAATAATAAAACGGATACAGAGTAAATGATCATTGGTCGAATTCCTTTAATATCAAAACTAGAGGTGCTAACTTTGTTCATGGCGGATATATCAATAACATCATTAGCCAGCACCCATTTAAACCAACCCAAATCCACCAGAAAAATTGAAAATCTAAAATAAAAGTTCAAAGGTTACGAAAATTTAAGTTCTTGCTTTTGCTAGTGGAAAAACTAACTAATAAGTGCATTAAACAGTTATTTAAATTTTTGCAACAAATACCTCTTTGTGCGTGCATCGTACCGAGAAGGAACTGCGCGATAGAAAGCTTTATAAGCACTTTCAGCTCGAGTACGCACAACACATGGTATTTGTCTGATCGGAACATCATCTAATCTTTGATGTAGCAGTGGAAATCCAATTATCCTTCTGGTACTTTTCTTTAATACCTGAAAAGAACCTTTGCTGTAGTAGAATTTTAGTAACCGCTTGCTAAAATATAGTACAATACTAATGATATATTATAGTTTTTCTACAGTCATTTCGTTAACTGAGCAAGTGGAAAAAAACTAGGAAATACTGAACTGTATTTTTGGCCTACTTAGAAAGGATATAATGTTAGAAAGATATGATATTGTGAGATTAAATGTTTCGTTAAAAAATCCATAAACAACACACCTTTTCAACAATTGAGAATATATTCTTGTTGACAACCCAAAATCTGCCCGATGACCGATCTCTCTTATCGAAGCGGACACTTATTATTGTTGGAATCATGTCAGGTTTGTACTGTTTGAACGCTGTTTGGGTGAACAGTGTTTGGGCCTAATAAAACATACATCATGGTAACGTAGGCGAAAAAAACAGCATTTCAAGGAAAATTTTTGGAAATCTTCACCTTCACCATGTCATATTCAGTACGCGCTTCAGTATCCATGTAACTGCCTAAAACAAAATATAATTTTAAAATTCAACATAATATACTCCTAAGTTCAACTTTTTGATCACATTGCTTGTGTCAACGAGTTCATTTCTGTGACATAATCAAAGAATTACAAAATTACTTCAAAATATATTTTTACAACTAAGAGAAGGTGGTTCTTTGTTAAAAACAAAGAATATCACCGTACTGCTGACCGTATTTGATTTCTTTTGATGCGATAGAATTTCTTCTGCAAAACGTACGGCTAACAACTCGCGTCTTTTGCGCAACCTGAAGTTTTTTTTTTCTTTGGGTTGATTAGTATCTTCGGTTTGCTCCAGAAAGATAAAAAATTGGCAATTCTAGTGCAAGTGATAAACGTAAATAAATGAAACCCGAAATAAAGTAGAATAGAAAAAGTCAGTTAATTCTTTTAATCATGTAAGTCTATCAAAAACCGAGGATTTGAAGAGATTTTCTACTTTTTCCGTAAAAGAGCAACAGCAAGTCAGTTCGCTACTGGAACTGTCATCCATTTGTCCACTGGCTGTCCATGAAACTGTGTCTTCTTCGGAAATTTCAGATCTGACGGATCCTTTAGCTTTAAATAAATGAAATTAATACTTTTAGGAAGAATTAGAGGACAATCAATTTATGTACTTATCAAAATCAAAGAGATAATGTAAAGTAATTGGCTCCAAGTCGAACTTTTCTATGAAGATCTCAAAGGTCAAAATTCATGAAACAGTAGCTTCAACATTGTACTGTGCTGTTATACATAACAGAAGAAAAGCAAAGTCTTTTGTCTTACCGAAATCGCTCAGCTTATTTTTTGCCAGCCTTCCAGAAACAATGTCCTGCAAATCTTCATAAAGGTCATCATTTTCAACCAGTAACCGGCCACGGATATACCCCAACACCACGAACGATCTTGATACAGTTTCTGGAAAAGAAACGTTTGAAATTAATGATGTCGACTCAAATGAACAAGCATCCCGTGGTAGGAGCCATATACTGGTTTCTCGAAAAGCTTTCGCGGCACTGTCAGATCTTCAACCACTGATTCAGTTATACAATACAATTGTAACAAAAAATTTGCCAGTATGTGGCATTCCTAGAAAATAACCCGTATTACCGATGTCAACAGCACTTACCCACTTCGCACTTGCACCTGTGTCCAATGAAAGCTTTATAGATATTCAGTTGTTCAGCGGATGGTACGAAAACGGGACAAACGCAACTGAACAATGCAAAATCCAGTAATTCTGGAGGAAATTCATAAATATCATCGAACTGTACTTCGCATTGCATGCCTTTGTCAATGAGATAAATCTGTGGAATTCACAAAAGTGAGATTTTACCAGTGTTCACTAGTATTTGTTTTGTAGATATGAAATTGTACTTTCCTTAATTTTGTATAAAATACATGCACGCAGGGTACATTACTAAATTGCATGGAACATATGGAGAGTAATAATGTATTGGCAAGACACTACACTTATGCATTTATAACCTTCGCAATTTTAAAATTTAAAAATTTACGGAATACGTATTAAACGCTGGTCTTCGGATAATGTATGATCGTTCCAATGAACCTTTTACATTTGCGATATATATCTCTCCTGAAAGGGACATACTGTTTCATCTTCTCTAGAGCATTATGCCGTTGTGTATTTGCTATGGAACAGTGTCTTACTGCACAAACTTTAAAGCTCCTCTGTGCTTATAAATAAATGTAGTAATGTGCCAATTTCGGAATTAATAAAATCATTCAAATCAAATTTGTCCAACGCTACTTATTTAGGCCATCTTCCACATGTTTCGAAATTCTACCACTCCGTATCCTAACTTCCAAATGCGTAACAATGTACATTATTTGTACTCAAGTTTAAACTGATATATATTTTTCAATTTCTTTATTTTACTTTGATTCTAACTCTGAATAAATTTCCGAGCAACTAGAAGATCAATTTACCAGATTTTACCGCCGACAAAGATTGGAATTTCCTTAATGACTGCGCCAAACTGTGCAGTTTTAAGGAGATCTTCCTTCGCTCTTCTTGCCATTGGAATGGTTTAATGAAAGTTAACGTTTCATTCCCAGCCACTACCACATGACTAATTTCGCCCTCAAAGTTTCGAATTGTTGTTGGTAACGAAATGACAACCATTTCTGTGCAATCAGTGAACTATTCCTGAAATGTTGGAAGAAAACCGTTAATCTCCTCGATAGTACCGCATCCTGAGGAATTCAGTCAAGGTATCAAGAAGTCCCAAGTGAAGTGTGGAGAAAGCACTAATTCAGTTGTAATGTCATGTATGCCAACAGAATCCTCCGGAAATACCATGCCTTACAGGTCCCCTGGAGACACGGCAATTCCTTCAACAGAATGTTGAACAACCAAACCAAACCTCTCAACGTGAAACCAACCGATCACGGACACTCCAAACATACAAACTGACGCATCGCACGTGTGACGCATACCTAAATTTGGGATCATGTAAATCCATTTCAAACTGCGGCAAATATGTACTCACTGCGCGCGGGAATTAAAATATGAATAACTCGTTCAGATTTCAGATTCTTCTTCACCCTTCCATATTTTGATTGCTACCAATTTCGAGAATCCTCCTCTCAAATTTTAAATGGACGATGCCAGAACTCAGCTCGACCTCAGGAAAAAATCAGTGAGTTACCACGGGACATTTCACTATTGTCCCTCGCGATTTTTTGGTTTCCCATCTCTCCCTTCGTCTATTTCAGTCACTTCATCTTCTCAAGCGAATTAAACACTCTCTGTTATATGATCCGGAAAATCAACGGCAAGTAACCATTCCTTACTTCATTTGTTAGATTTTCTGGTTCTCTTATTTTCATATAACTACTTAAGAGATTGTCCGTTGTTTATGTATATTTCTGTACACCGTATGACTATGCCATAAAATAAAGAATTTATCAATGGAACGTTGCTTCAAGTCATAAAACATGATATACATGCAACGTAGGAAAACATATGAGCCATAATAAAGACACTTGAAATGAAGTGAAAATAAAAACGTTGCTTTAAAAAATATAAAACAGAAAAATATGAAAGCAGATGTTTAATAATGAATCTCCTTTCTTTCCCTTTCTCTTTCATTTCAAGATCACTTGGATAAGAATTTGAAAAATGAATGCGCTCTGCTATCCCAAACAATAGTCTTTTCTAAGACAGCAACTTCCACATATTAAAGTACTATTAAAAGTTCTGAAAAAATGCAAGTTCTCATTTCATAAATAATGATTAAATTTTCAAATTAACAGACTTAAACAATCTGTTAGACCGTCTTAGTCTTGGTGCTATTTTATCCATACTGGTAGAAAAGGAAGTTGCATCAGCTGCAGTTTTAGTGACATCATTTAATTCACTTCCGATGCATGATAAATCAGCAAGAGTTATCGCACGATTCCAAATCTGAAATAAAAATTAGTGCATGACATGATGAGGGAAGTCATACGTTTCCAATCTTTATTTCCAATAAAACTAAATTTACTTAGTTCATGAAAATTTATCAAAGATTATCAGAAAACGATAAAAGGGAATAATTAAATCAATCTATTTTCTGATAGAAATATGATCGAAATAGGAACCATAAATGAAATAGCAGGGATGATGTTCAATTACATTGTCATGTAAAAATTGTTTTTATTAAAATTGTCAGAATAATGTTTTTGATTTTCATGACCATAACTAAGATTTAAGTGCAACCTCAACAGGATCATCATCGTATCCAGATTCATATCCATCTTGCACAACGTCTTCAGTTATTCGTGCCCAACGGCTCAGAGTATGCAATGCTCTTTTCGATAACTGCGATTTATCAGTGATCACTTTAGCAGTAAGACCGCCTTTTGGCACTACTCGTAAAGATTTTTCGACTGCTGGTGAAACCGAAAGTTGTTTCAAAGCTGTTTTAGTCTAGAAATCTTGAATAATCTTGGCTTCATTTAATAACTTATCCGTATATGTACCCAATCTTTACATCATTTCTACTGGAGAAAAAAAGATGAAAAAACTAAAAAATATTTTCCTTAACAGTTAAATATATATGAAAAAGCTACAAACTTCCAAAAAAACTGCTATTCTAGGAAACTGACGTCCGGAAAATCTTACAAAACGATCACAAACGTTCATTAGTCAGATAATAGCATCACCTACTTGAGGCCCAATTCCATCCGCTCTTCAAATACTTAATCGCGCACAGTAAATTTCACCGTAAGGGAAGGAAAAAGAAAGAAAGGTTAGTTTTACCGTATAGAACTATCATACCTTTAATTAGTTTAATCTCAAGTCTGGAGTACAAGAACCAATAGGAAAAATGACCTCTTCACTTGTTTTCAACGATTTCTTTGATATGCGTCCAATATGCCAAATGGTATAAAAAGAACGCAGTAATGCAGCAGCAGTTATTGATACTGTTGTAAAAGGCACATTTTCTAGTTGATTATCATAATATGATATCTGACTTTGATCTATTATAGATGAAGAACTTAATGGACTATTTTGTTTCCTCTGTTCCATCTTTTGTGTCCAATCTTGCACTTTCTGCGCATAACTTTTCCAATTTTCATGCTGAAATAACTCCATGATATGCCGAAAGCACCGAAAATCTAAATTTCATCACAGATGCAATAAAATATTTTGCACATCAACTGATTACAAAAAACAATTCTATTCAGTGGAAAAAATCTTCATAAATTTCTAATAAGTTCACAAATAGCTTAAAAAAATCAACCCACCCCATTGATACAATTCCTTATTAAAAACGGAGGTTCAGCTTTTCTTTTATGGCATTTCTTTCTACTGACTGGTGGAATACAACAGTTCAATAGAACAGTCGGAGCACAGTTAATCACGAGTCGTCTAAATAAAATCAAGTTTTCAGCAAAACAGTGAACTGGTATTGCGTTTACTCGCAAAAATTATCCTAAGTTCAGGAGTTTAATTGAAAATCTAAAGGATTAAATGATATCACAGTAATGACAATCCTTATAATACCTGCAAATTCTATTAACATTTCGTGCCTTTTCACAGCAGCTCATTCTATTCCCATCGTTATCGTTCATTGTACGCCAAGGTTTCGGCTTTTTCATATACATAAGAAGCTTGAAATGCTGGGGTGTTTGAGTCATCCTTTTCTATTATCTGCTTTTCTTTCTAAATTGAAGCACTTACTTCAAATGATCACAATCATTAAAATAAAAAAAAATTTCTGATGCAAATAACGTTCTTAAGAGAGAAGAGCATGAGAGAGCAGAGGAGCTATTATCTTCTGCTTCAAATAACTTCATCCTAATTTCATCATTCTCAACAACATACATAAAGATATCAAGTTTTATGAACAGCTCCTTGACCCGACGTCATCTACATATAAATATCCAAAAATGGACACTTCAACGGACAACGAGTTACCTCACCCCAATTCCCCTCCTTTATTTCCCTTTCCTTTCCATATAGCGAGCAATTCTCACAACCTTTCAAATCTCCCGCCCGATGCGATACGCAAATTGAGCGTCCCACGTATGGAATGTCAAAGGTCAGCTCGGCACGGGAATAAATTTGATGAGAAATGAATTGACATAATTGATACAGTTTGGCTTAATATATTTTGACATTGAAGAAAATTGTTACAATAGCATTACATCCATTCATTACATCCATTCTCTCTCTCCCGTTTGACTTTGTTCAGTGTACTTACTTAACTTACTCCTTCACTTCCCTTTGTACATCTCTTTATTTACATTCAAACCTAATCAGATTAAAAACGGGAATGCAAAATTGTGAGACGACAGCTGACCATCCACTTTTTTTCTGCTGATATTTCTCTCTCTCTCCTTTGTAATAACTCTATCAAATCCGACATGAATTCCTACGTACTGTTTTGAGTAAAATTGTGGAATTTTCTTTATTATAGTGTAAATTTCGTCTCCTCATTTGTCATTCCAAATTATTTCGTCAAAAAATTTTAAAATTATGCAAAACACTTTGTTGAGGTCATCGGAATTCTTAAAATTTATTACTCAAAGGCCAAAAAAAGCTTTAATTTCCCATCGACACTTTACTTCATCAACAATTCTTTCCTTCTTTCGAAGCATCTATCACTTTCCGGCTCTTGTGCCTTGTCCCGATCTGTCTTTCTTCCCTTTACTCTTCCATTTGTATCTTCCAGTTCTAATGAAATTTTCACTTTTAAAACATA